GCATAATAAAGCACACTATAAATATTTACAGAGCTAATGGTTGTAATGGTCTTTTGCTTTTCAGATCTGTAAAATCATCTTGTTTCAATTTTATATTGCTCAATTTGACTATGTCAGTTATGTACAAGTGGTATTGATTTTGAAAAAGGAGGAAAGTAGTCAATGTATTATTGTCAGTGTTTTGGCTCCCTCTACAGGTAAAACACATTTCCATAGAGCAGTGGTTCTCAAACCTCTCCATGAAGTACCCCCAGCACGAGCAAATAAATTGTACGGGAAGATTACAGGTTTATAGGCTTTAGTGACTAGATGCAATCATGCAAGGACTATAATATGTTTATATATTATTTTATATACATTCACATTGATCACCTACTGCCTTCTTATATGAGCTAATAGAAATACAAACAATTTTCCCAATATGATTTAGAACAAGAGGAAAAAAGATGCACACTAAACTCTCTCTCTCTCTCTCTCTCTCTCTCTCTCTCTGTGTGTGTGTGCATGAGTGAAAAGCCTTTACCTTTTTACTGTTTTAGGGTTCAGTTTAGTCTTTTCTAAGTCCAAGACTTTTTTTATTTTGTGAATGAATTATTATTATCTCATTATGTATATTATATAGATAGTTCTAAATATTATGTTTTATTAAAATCGTTTTGTCTTGTACAATTTAAAGTCTATCCAAAAGGTGACAAAATAAGGGCAATTTAAACGCATCATAATTTTAATATCATCATAATAAGTCATAATCTATATTAGTATACAAATTTTCCTCTTTTTGTGATTTTCTGAAACATCACAAACTATTAAATTTAGTGGTTCTATGAAGGAATTAGGAACAGACTTTTTGGGCGTCTTGTGAAAATTGACGTAACGAACGCATGAATGAAGTCGTTTTGTGTGTGTATCTGGCAGAGAGACGCACACGCGTTTCCAAGCAAATAGAAAGCGAATCTTTTTAATCTGTGTGTCGTAATTTTATTATGCACTTCCTTATGTATCATTTACCCCACTACATTCGTCATACTGTTTTTCTCAATTTTCAGAATTAACCCCGAAATTTCAATACGTTAATGCAATGTATCGGCCAGTAGTTTCAATGGTGACATACCTTTGGCCGTCGGTGACCACTCCCACCTTTTAGGTACCGCTCAATTTGATTGGTCTTTGGATACACCCACTACCGCGTTTAAGCCCGATAGCACCATAGATATGTACATCTATGGATAGCACCGCCTCACCTCCGACATTCCGCGAGATTTCATTGGATGCCAGTGGTCTTAATTTGCATACGCGACCGGATTGGTCAGAACGACCGTCCGTCATTAGGCATCTATACTCACAGCAGTTCACATAGAAGATGCTGATATAGTGTGGGTAGAAGGGAAAGTATATCTAACGGGTAAATAAGGATATAGTGAGATATTGGGATTTAAAGGGAATTGGGGTGGAAACTGGAGGAGCTGAACACGCAGCGCCAGTGTATTTATTTTTTCTTCTTCTTTGTAATGGGGGGGTTAGGAAATGTTAAGAGATAGAAACTCGCCTTTACGGAACACAGCATCGGCAGCGCACCTGCGGAGAGCCAGAGCCCCGGAGACGCACCTGCCTCGCATCCCTGCGGCATCCGATCCTCCGATATCATCATCCTTCCCAACGTGGAGGTAACCAGAAAGACATCTGGGATTATTGAAATAGAGGTGAAACCTCTGCGAAAAACTGAGAAGAGCAAAGTGTATTACCTGTGCATTGCCACCGCCACACCTGGCGCGCAGGACGCGTGGTCCGAGAGCACCTGGATCTATCACGAGGGGCATGACACTAAAGTGATCGTGGTGGAGGAGAAGAAGTTCCTGCTGCCTTTCTGGCTGCAGGTGATTTTTATTGCCATGTTGTTGTGTTTGTCCGGCATGTTCAGCGGGCTGAATCTGGGACTGATGGCGCTGGATCCCATGGAGCTCCGGATTGTCCAGAACTGCGGGACTGAGAAGGAGAAGAATTACGCGAAGAAGATCGAGCCAGTCCGAAGCCAAGGAAACTACCTTCTGTGCTCTTTGCTATTGGGAAATGTCTTGGTCAATACCACTTTGACTATCCTGCTCGATGACATCGCAGGATCAGGGCTGATCGCTGTAGTGGTGTCCACTATAGGGATCGTGATTTTTGGGGAAATCGTGCCACAAGCAATCTGTTCCAGGCATGGGCTCGCCGTGGGCGCAAACACTATACTCCTGACTAAATTCTTTATGATCCTCACTTTCCCTGCATCATATCCCGTCAGTAAACTCCTGGACCACGTGCTGGGGCAGGAGATCGGCACTGTGTACAACAGGGAGAAGCTTCTGGAGATGCTCAGGGTGACAGATCCGTATAATGACCTGGTGAAAGAGGAGCTCAACATCATCCAGGGCGCTCTGGAGCTCAGGACTAAAACTGTGGAGGATGTCATGACGCCTTTGCGAGACTGCTTCATGATCGCCGCTGATGCCATCCTGGACTTCAACACCATGTCTGAGATCATGGAAAGCGGCTACACGCGAATACCTGTGTGTGAGGGCGAGAGATGTCATATTGTGGACTTGCTGTTTGTCAAGGACTTGGCCTTTGTGGATCCAGATGACTGCACGCCGTTGAAAACCATCACCAAGTTCTACAGCCACCCTCTGAATTTTGTCTTCAATGATACAAAGCTGGATGCCATGCTCGAGGAGTTTAAAAAAGGTAAGTTGTATACAGTGCATTATTTTTTTAAAGCTACACCTTCAGTTGTTGAGGAATTCAGCTATATAATAATACAAGTATGCTTGAAGACTTTAAAAAACATAAAGTTATATACAGTTGCGTTGTTTAATTGTTGAAGAATTCACCTGTATAAGAGGTGGGGAGTATAAAAGTGGTAAAGTTATAGATAATGTTCTTGCTTTTTGAATAATATAGTTATTATAATAAAATCATATCTTCATCATGTGTAAATATTCGTTTCAACAGCATTTTCAAACTTTCAGTAACCACTGAACCAAAGTTAGAACGTTACAGTCGCTAGCAAACAAGCCACATTCTTCTGATGAGGTAACCATAGCAACAGTACGCCGCTCCAACTGGCTGCACGTCGTATAAAACATCGAAAAATTATCCCAGCGTTACTATTTATCGCTTTGTTACCACTGGTATTTGTTCTTTATTTACATGTTATAACTATATTAAAAAGTGAACTTACACTAAATTTGTAAGTAAAGCATTTCAAAATAATTTTCGTATTATTTATAAATGACAAATTTCTAACTGCTTCACTAATTATCTGTTTAGCATGTTATACTGTGGTAATGTTAGTTAATATTTAGCTAATGAAAGTTTTTATAAATCCTTGCAGAGAAAATTTTCCCCCAGGGCTTTGGGGGTGCTTGTGTCAGTAAAGATTTTAAGCATTGCTCTAAAGTAACATACAAAACAGACTCCATTAATATTCTATTAATATTATTATTGGATGTAATGTAAAATGTTGTAATGGTACCTGTTGATGATCTGTTCTCTCTGAGGTGTGGGGTTCAATGAAGACAATTCAAGAAGAGTGAATTAAACTTCACCGTCAGTGATGCAAACGGTCTCTGGCTCAGATATAACATTGATCTCTGGAGCAGAGTTCAGGAAAAGGCCATATCCACTGCTAACTTAGACTTACATATAACCCAAGTTTTTATTTTACAACAAGAGCAACAAAGCTGTGTTTTATGATTGCTGTTTAGGGAATCATTCCTTTCAACAGGCACTAGATAATCATTCTGGCTTGTAATTTTCACTTGGTGCCCTGAGCAATCAGAACATGATGTCTGAACCAGTGAGTTATTTTATGACATAAATACCAAACAACAATATGAGTGGGTTAAGTTATGCCATTTCTTTCTGTAAGAATGCAGTTGTAACATATGTATTTAAATGGGTAAATTATATAGTTTTAGTTAAAGTGTCTTAATCAGTTTAGTAGTCAGTTGTTTCAAAGTAGAAGCCAGTTTGGGTTTGAAGTATTCTGCGTTCAATGGTAATTTACAAACACGCTATCACCCAGTTGCGGACTCAGACCATAGTAGGACCGTGGCCGAACATTCCACAAATTGTGGCTGAACAGGAAATGGACTTAACCAGATTTGGGCAACAATTGAGGTATGTGTAGTACAGTGTCGAGCTTGAGTCCATCAACAAAGCCTGTCTTAGAAGCCCCCACATCTCCTGTGTAAAGGACTCCATATCACCCACATAAGCCTTTCTCTCCCTGTCTTTGTTGTGACTCGGCATAGCTTTCAAACTGTGTTTACTCAACACAAAAGTAGTGATATGCTGTTATGGTGAAAGCTTGTCACCTGATGTGTCAAAGGACAAGTGACCATTAAGCTGCTGGTCTCCGATGGGTCTATATCTATATTATCTATAACCTTATTCAAGGTTCCTCTTGGATATTATGCATCTGTACTGTTTGTTAAACTATTTTATTTTCCAGGTTTTTGGATTTATATTTATTTCTGGCTGTGGTAACATTTTGTACTCCGCTGTTTATTTTTATGTTTATTTTATTATCTTTATTGCTCGATTTCAGGTTGTTCATACGTCCCGCATGAATCTAGGGGTATAAGCGGACGCAACAAAACAACAAATAATTTAAAGAGTGCTAGTCTGAGTCCTGTCACAGCACCACAAGCCACAAATGACCATAAAGGTTTTTATTTGACAGCTCATGGAACAAATACAAAAGGTATATTAAAAATAAGAAAAAAGAAATAAAAGGGAAGCAATAATTTCAGGAGAGGGCATGGCCAAAATAACAAACAAAACAATCTAACTAGATAATTTAAGCCTCTAACTAATCTAACAAAAAAAAGAAAAATAACAACAGGTTTGTATCCTAACTCCCTTCCTGGCCACAAAACAGGAGAAAACAGGGTTCAAGAAAAATGGCACCCACCTCCCTAGAACTCCCAAATAAACCAAACAATAATAAACAAGTTTGTAAACAACAGCAACAGGCTGGGCAGGACAAAGACAGTGCTCTGGAGAAAGCTCTTGGGGGAACGTCTTGGTAGCAATCAGCTACCTGCCAGACAGATTGAGTAGGAGGAGCCAAAGGGTTAACGGAGGGGGAAAAAAAAGACACATTAAAGAAAACAGCTTTTCTGATAAATCATAACAATAAAGACTACGTCTCCAGACGTAACACCCCCCACCCGTAGTTACAAACTATGAACTTAAAAAAAAAAACTACCACACACACACTTTACATGAGCGGGTTAGTCATCAATATGAGCTCTTGACAAAGCATCTGCTACTACATTGTCCACTCCTTTTATATACCTTATATCAAGAACAAACTCTTGCAGAATCAGAGACCATCTCATTAATCTCTGGTTTGAGTTTGCCATACAAGACAGAAAGTTGTTTGTTATGAAAGCAACTTTGATAGTGGCTTTTTACTCTTGGCTTTTCTAGTTTTATAAAACGACTCTTCACAGGAATGAGAGGTATTTGCATTCAAAATGTTGTGGAGTTGTAATGCTTAATCCTGTAAGCAGGGTCAGGAATTCACAGGGTTAATTGATGTTTATGTTGACAAAACAAAGCGCATTTGGCAGACTTAAACATAAATCATGTTGAAAACAAGATGAAGCCACTTGTTTCCAGTAAAAACTCTTTTAAGAATTATGCGTTGTTGTTACAATTACAGCTGAGCAGTAAACTGATACGGAAAAAGGAGGGAAAGGTCTGGATCTAAATTATACCTTTATTTATACATTTGTTATATATTATATTACGAATATTATTTTATAAAGTATATCACATTATGAATAATATACACTGCTGCTCAAAAGTTAGAGGTTACTAAGATTTCTTTTCTTTTTTTTTTAAGAAATTACTACTGTTATTCAGCAAGGATGCATTAAATTGATCAAAAGTGACTGTGA